TTGGATAGGAGGGCTAGGTCATCTGCGAAGTCTAAATCGTCTAGTTGGTTCTGAGCTGTTCATTGTATGCCGTGTTTTTCCTCAGATGTCGAAGTCTTCATAATCCAGTCGACCACCAGAAGAAAGAGGAAGGGAGAGAGTAGACAGCCTTGTCTGACTCCGGTCCCTACTTGGAATGCGTCTGTCAGCTGTCCTCCATGCACTACTTTCCACTGTAGTCCGTCATATGAGTTCCGGATAATATTGACAATCTTCTCAGGAACTCCGTAGTGTCGAAGAAGCTTCCATAACGTTCTCCTATCTACACTGTCAAATGCCTCCTCATAATCAATGAAGTTGATGTGCAGTGACGAGTTCTACTCAATTGATTGTTCGACGATGATCCGTAGTGTCGCAATCTGGTCTGTGCACGACCAGTCCTTACGGAATCCAGCTTGTTGATCTCGAAGTTGAGCGTCTACTCTATGTTTCATCCTGTTCAGCAACACTCTGTTGAAGACTTTACCCGGTATTGACAGTAGTGTAATGCCTCTGTAGTTTTCACACTTGCTCAGATCTCCTTTCTTTGGAATCTTGATGAGGTGTCCTTCTTTCCAATCCATCGGCACTTGTTCCTCCTCCCAAATCTTCTTGAATAGAAGATGAAGCATGCTTGTAGTTACTTCGATGTCTGACTTCAACGCTTCAGCTGGTATATTGTCAGGTCCTGCTGCTTTCCCGCTCTTGATTTGTCTGATGGCCATTCTGATTTCTTCTGTCGTTGGTGGATTGACATTTATAGGAAGATCTGTGTGTGCTGCTTCGATGTCCGGTGGATTCATTGGAGCCGGTCTGTTCAGGAGTTCCTCGAAGTACTCTGCCCATCTGTTGCGCTGTTGTTGAATCTCAGTGATTGGTCTTCCTTCTTTGTCTTTGACTGGTCTCTCTGGTTTACTGTATTTCCCTGCAAGCTTCTTCGTCGCATCGTAAAGCTGTCTCATAGTTCCTTCTCTTGCAGCTTTTTCCGCCGTCGTTGCTAGTTCTTCCACGTATTTTTGCTTATCAGCTCTAATGCTCTTCTTCACTTTCTTGTTTGCTTCTATGTACTCTGCTTGTGCTTGGACTTTCTCTGCTCTTGTTCGACTGTTATTAATTGCTGTCTTCTTGTTCTTTCTTTCTTTGATCCTGTCCAGTGTTTCTGTAGAGATCCATTCCTTGTGATGATGTTTCTTGGGGCCCAGAACCTCTTGACACGTTGAAGTTGATGCTTCTTTGATACCTTTCCAGTTATCCTCCATAGTAGTTTCTTCTTCCTTCAGTAGATCCTGTAGTGCTTGGAACCTGTTGTTGAGGGCTATCTTGAATTCATTGATTTTGTAAGTATCTCGAAGGAAGGCTGTATTGAACCTTCGCAGCTCTGTTTGTCCAGTTGTCCAGTTCTTCTTTAGCTTCAGTTTTAAATTGGCCACAACCAGGTGGTGATCTGAAGCTATGCCAGCTCCCCTCCTGGTTCTCACATCTTCCATTGTCCTTCGGAACTTTTTATTGATGAAAATATGATCTATCTGATTTTCTGTGGTGTGGTGTGGTCCGGTGAGATCCATGTAGCTTTGTGTATACGTCTGTGTGGAAATATTGTACTGCCTATGACCAATTTGTTGAATGCACACAGATTTACAAATCTTTCCCCGTTTTTGTTTCCCTCTCCCAGTCCATGTCATCCCATGATATCTTTATATCGGGTGTTGTCTATTCCGACTTTGGCGTTTGGGTCTCCCATCAGAATGGTGAGGTCCTTTCTTGGGCACTTCTCTATGATTGATTGCAGCCTCTCGTAGAATTGGTCTTTAATGTCGTCGTTGCTATCATTGGTGGGTGCATAACATTGGATAATGTTCATTGTGATCCCCTCCTTCTTTGTTTTGAATGATGCTTTGATGATTCTGGATTCGTGAGATTCCCATCCTACAAGTGCATTTCGTGCTACTTTGGACAGCATTAGAGCAACTCCCTGAGTGTGTGGAGCATTTTCCTCTTCGTGACCGGAGTATAGCAGCATCTCTCCCGTACTTAGACTTTGTTGTCCAGCTTGGGTCCAATGGATTTCGCTGATTTCGAGTACTGCCAAGTGGTATCTCCTCATTTCCGTTGCTATTTGACTGGTCTTCCCGGTCACCATATTGTCCGGACGTTCCATGTACCGATAAAAATTGTTGCGCTGGTTGTTAGAAGGGACATCGGCCTCATGGCTTCCGAAGAAACTCGGCTTTCACCATGAGGCGCCATATTTCTTCTAAATGAATACCTCCTAACTCGCAGGGCGGGGTTTAAATGGTTTGAGTTTTTTTTCTGGTTGGCGTTTTTTTTAGCGAGTTAGTTTTCTACGGGATGGGGACGCTAACTACATGCCCAACCCTCCTCGTTTATCCGGGCTTGGGACCTGCAGTAACTCTAGTAGAGTTACAGACGGAGTATTAGATAATGTAATTCACTTTTCTGGTTTTTTGTGCAGTAGGGCTGATAGATTAAATCGTAGGGGAGGCGGAGTTATCCTGTACACTAAAAGTACCCTAACCATAAGAGCAGCTGAGACAGTAGCACATGTTTTAGGAACATGTGAATTGGTGCGGTTTAGGCTGAAATGTAGACGGCAAGATATTTAATTAGTTGTAGTATATCGCAATCCAGAATGCGTGGTAGATGATTTTCTCCTAAGTAAACTTAAGTCCTGGTGTAACAAGGGTAAAAGCCTTGTAGTAGGCGACTTTAACGCACCGTATATAAACTGGATTAACTTAGAAGTAGGGTCATCGACAACGTCGTTCGATTGCAAACTGTTAGAAACCTCGATTGCTTTAGCTTTGTTCCAACACATTAGAACTCCCACAAGACATGACTTAAGAAACTCCTCTCTTTTAGATTTAGTCTTCACACATGGTGATGACGTTGGTCAAATGACTTTTCCCACCGATAGGGAAAAGTAACCACGCAGTCATCTTATTCAAATTCGTGTCTGAGATTGCCTGTCAAACAGTTGCGCCGGCCCGTCCTAACATATGCACTCAAGCAGCCCAAGAGAATATTCTCGTACATAAAATACAGAACAAGGATGCATCATTGGATTCCAAATCTATTTAAAGAAGGGAGTGAATCTGAAATGATAGAGGAAGATCAGGACAAAGCGGAGGCAATGGCTGACTGTTTTCTGGCAGTTTTCACTCAGGAACCTCCTTTGGACAAAGAACCAAACCAAAATAAAGAGTCAATAAACCACCTTCTCACTGCGGACTTCGACCAAGACGATGTGCTCAAGGCTCTTAGCACCTTAAATATGGAAAAGTCAACAGGACCAGATGAACTACACCCTAAAATCTTGAAGCATAATGCACAATATATCGCGGCTCCATTGACTGTGATATTCAATGTGTCACTTATTCAAGGTGTGTTACCTATGGACTGGAAGGACGCAATCTTAACTCCCATACATACAACAGGGTCAAGACAGGTTCCATCAAACTACAGACCTGTAAGCCTCACCAACGTTGTAGTTAAAATATTGGAAGGAATAGTCAAAAGGACAATAATGGAATTATTGAAACAAATAACTTGTTAAACATAGAACAAAATGGTTTTAGAAAGGGTCTATCCTGTACAACAAACCTCCTTTTAGCAAGCGAATTTCGGATAAAGGCCCTAGACAACGGAAACTCAGTGGATGTTGTCTACATAGACTTCAGTAAGGCTTTTGACAAGGTGCAAGCAAATAGACTCTTATTGAAGTTGGAAAACCTTGGTATTGCTGGACCTCTCTTAAGGATTTTCTAGTAGGTCGTAGACAGAAGGTAAGAATAAATTCCAAGTGCTCCATCTGAAGACCAGTACTTAGTGGAGTACCTCATGGTTCCGCCCTAGGTCCTCTATTTATTATAATGTGTCAATGATCTTCCAAGTATAGTACAGTCTTCAATGTTATTATACGCTGACGATGTAATGATCTGGCGAGTAATAACTGGAGACACAGGCTCAGATGCTCTTCAGGCAGACCTGAATAATATAACTAACCGGTCTAAAGAGTGGCTGATGCCTATCAACGCGGCAAAATATGTCTACATGCACTTCGGGGACTCAAATGTTTATAGGTATAACATAGGGGAAGTGCAATTACCAGTGGTTCGGTCTCATAAGGATCTGAGGGTGACATTGAGTCAGGATCTAAAGACGACGACCCATTTCCGTGAGATCGCAGCTAAGGGGTTTCGAACCCTCTGGGCATTAAAACGGACATTCACTGAGCTAGATACTATCATGTTCACCAAAGTATACACGTCCTTAGTGAGAACTAAGCTTGAGAACTGCGTTCAGGCCCCAAGCCCGTGTTTAAAAAACGATTCAGATATCCAAGAAAAAGTACAGAGGGCAGCTACCCGTGTAATTCCAGAACTCCGCGGTTTACCATACAAAGAGCGGCTGGAAAATCTAGATCTCTTCACACTGTCCTATCTCAGATTAAGAGGAGATTTAATTTTGATGTACAGAATACTGAGAAATGATTTTGGACCTAACTTACTCTCTCTTTTTCTTCCCACTAGATCGGGACATCTCAGAGGACATAGCAGGAGAGTAGAAAAGCCAAGAACGAACAAAATACCCGTGGCATACAAGTTCTCACACCGAGTTATCAACACTTGGAACCTGCTGCCCGAAGTAGTGGTGTCCGCACCTTCAATCGACTCTTTCAAGAGAATTCTAGACACTCACAGAAGCATACTAGAAAAGGAATAATATAGGCCGGAGGCATTCTGTCCTTACTATACAAATCTGAATCTGATATTATTGTGTCACATGAACATATTTTTAAAGGTTCTTATATAAGAAACACGATTAAGCATATTTCTTGAAGTCAGAGATACAAAACTGTTAGTGAGAACGAAGCTTGTGACCAAAAATTTTGAAGTAGCTGTTAGGGGTAAACACAAAGTTGATTATTGTTTTAATAAATGACTGTTTATGCTTTTTGGTAACACTGTATCAGCGCTTGTAACAAAAATTCTCATTTCGAGTAACTCATGTTTCCGAAAACATTCTCAATAATTAGAGGAATTCTGTGTTAGTGTTTGAATTTAGTTGAGTCACTAGCTTTTTATAATTTGCTTGTTGAAACGATTTTCGATGATTATATATCAGCAGTTTATTAATGAATTATATGTATACATATGTATATTTACATATATGTCAGTATTGACCTAAGATATCTTAGATCATTCCTTGTTCTTGATCCATATTAAAGTGTTAGATAAATATAAATTGGCAGCACAAATCTCTGCGGATGACGCAAAGATCTAGAGTTTAAAACGGACACTACAATACCGGAATAGGCAGTAGATAATGAGTTAACTCAACCTATTAAAATATCATATCATGAGCATTTTTCATTATTTGACACAAAGCACTTTCACCCTTCGCTCAAATCCTCTTCCCTTCGTCTATTTTGAACGTGTTCTCGGGCTTGCAACCACGGAAAATTAGAACATCGGCTTGAACTATAGAATGATATGTTTCTCGGACTAAGTACGGAGGAGAGCAACCAATTGGATAATAGGTCTAAGACAAAAACATCACGGGGACAGACTCCAGCATCCAGGAGGATTCTGGTTGAATTATAGGGGAATGAGAAATGATCCGATAGTGGCCGACAGTATGTTAAGTATACTGATCCACCCCAACACAAACATATTACCAGAACATCATCAACACGCTCCTCAATGCAACCCTCAAAAGATTGCATGCCAAAAAACAGGCACCCAGATACACCTTTACTTTTTCCCATCAAACGTTTCTCCCGTCCAGAATGCTCTCCCAGCCAGGGTGACGACAACTACATCAGTCGATAGCTTTAAGAGGAAACTTGTTAAACAAATGCCTATTCGCGGATTACCATCCTCCTCTTGGACCATCTGTGTCTAATGCATGTCTCGTAAACTACCACGGCTATCATTACCGCATACCAGTGACTATTTCCTATCTCTCTTATTATCATTCCCATTCCCGCTCTTATCCTTTCGGTTCATTCTTCTTACACGTAACCAATCAGGTAAATTATTTGTTTACTCTTGAAACAATCGCTTCAAATAGAATCTACTGCTCTTTTCCAGTAGTTTGTTCACTTTTGTATATTCGGCATGTGACTCGACTTTCCGTGCTTTTTCTCGGATATTGTTGACTCTGGCTTGTTTCTCTTTTAATGAATGTTGTACAAGCTACCCACAGAGTTCGATTGTTTGTGCTGCTGCTTATTGGAGCTCAAGATCTTCCGGGATGCTGAGTGTGTTGCTTCTTTAATTCCTTTGCAGTTCGTTCTCACAGTAGTTTCATCCTCGTTTATTAGATCTTGTAAAACTTGTTACTTCTCGCTGAAAGTTATCTTGATGTCAATGAGATTGTCAGCATTTTGAAGGATTATTAAGCTTTCTCAAGGCTGCTTGTCCAATTGTCCAGTGTTTGTTTGGTTTTAGTTTGAGCTTGCTCACCGCTAGGTGGTTGTCTGAAGTTCAATCAGCTCCTTTCTTTGTTTTCTGTCTTCAATGAACCTTTTTAATTTCTTCTCCCATCTATGTGATTGATCTGGTTCTCTTTTGTGTGATCTAATAAAACCCATGAAGCTTTGTGTGTGGATTTGCGGGAAGAAATGCTGGCGCCTATGACCATGCTATTGAAAGCACGCAAACCTACCAGTGTTTAGTCTTAATCGCTTCTTTTTCTCAATCCAAGATGCGTCAATACCTGGTGTTGTTCCTTTTGACAGTGTCGTTCAAGTCCTTAATTGGGTGGGGCATCGATCAAGTGACTTTTGAAGAATCTCGGGTTTCACCGCGAGGTGCCATAACTCGTCTATATGAAGACCCTTGAACTTCCAGGACAGAACTAAATGTCCTAATTTATTTTCTTGGTTAACGTTTTTGTAGCTGGGTTCTGGTTTGTGTGATGTGTTTGCTAACCCCATTCTCAGCCCTTCTTTATCTCCGTGGTTTAAACCAGCAGCAACCTTATAAATGCTCCAGACTGAGCTTGTACCAGGCCTTATATTGCTTAAGGTAATCTATCCTATTGAAATAAGAGTTTATTTTTCTCCTATAAACCTAATTGCATCCATATTTCACCAATTCTTGTTAAAAAAACGTTGTTTTATAGTTGGTTTTTCTTGACGGAATATTGCAACTGCACATATGCTGAAATTTTTCATAGTGTTTAACATTTCTTATCAATAGATTATTATTTGATCTACTAATTTAGGTATCAACTATCTATATTGTTTTAAAAGTTAATTAACATTTATCGTTTTTTATCGCGATAGTATAGTAGTGGTCTAAAGAATTATCGACCAGTTTTTTCTGATTTTTTAACTTTGATTGACTTTACTTATGAGAACGAAATAACCGCAAATGCCCTGATACAGCTGAGAGTAAGAAAGAGGAACTCTCATTCTTGAAATGTCCTAACATGGCCACGCGTATACAACCACTGACAGAAAAGTCCTACTTACTTCCTCCTCGCACCAAAGGTATTGTTTACACAATTAAGAGGACAAAAAGCGAATGTCCGGCGCTTTAACCGGATTGGTGGATACGGAGAGTTCACCTAGGGGAGATGGAAAACCCTCATTCCAAATCAATGGTGCACATAGACTCCACGATTCCGAGGAAATAAATGGCAAATGAACCAATCGTTTGTCACCGGCTACCATGAGACTGCATCTCCACTGACTTGTGGATTAATAACTTAACGAATGAAAGTTTGTCACTCTAACAATAATTGAGTTTAAAATCTGTTATCTGAAAAAAAGTAGATCATGATCAGCAAATAGACTTTGGAGTGCATTCGATCTAACTGAAAAGATTTGACAGTTATGATTGGAGTTATAATAAGTTATCTTTTAATTTTTATTGTTATTCATTTTATCAATCATAGTAAATTTTTTACAGAAACGCCAGAAAGTATCTCAAAATGACATCAATATTATCACATTATCCCGTGTTTGTTAATAACTATACAAATATGTACAAACCAAATCTTATAAACCATAATCTGAAATCAACTGATGAAACCAACTTCAAATGTGCAAATGGCCCAACTTACAATGTTGATTTATTACAATGGCAAACGAATGCATCAAGCAGTTCATTGGATCGGTTACGACTGCGCAGTAAGGATTAGTTTCGTTTTTAAGATTGAGATTCTGTTTTTTTAAGTTTAGTAAAAGATAAGAATTAATTTTAATGTCTATATTTTACCTAAGACGGTTTTAATTTGAAGGAGTATTTTGAATTTCAATCGGCTTAAATGATCTCCCTTAAACTAAAGGAGGTCGATAGCCTATTGTTCAAACAAACAGTAGATATACAGTGGTTATAGATAAAAATTTCACACTTTGCATGACTCTAAAAAATGACAGGAATTTTGACTGGGTAGAAAAACCGTTGACATGTTGAATCTTTTGTTGTGTGGGTTTAATGTTTAACATGCTGGCTAAATTTCTAACTGATGTTTTATCATACGGAAACAGCTCACAAAAGAGTAACTCTCGATTCTGTATTTTCTACGTTGAACATGCTTCAATGATTTCTGGCTCGTAAATCATTAGGTTGTGTTAAATTTCTGTCATAATTGAATTTTAAGTTTGTTTTTAGTAATTTTTTCAAAAAAATATTAACGATCTAATCTTTCATGCCATTATTTTATGGTAAATTAAGTTCCAATGGTTGAGATAATGAGTCAATTAAAGCTAGACCACCATGGGGAACCTGGAAGCACTGGATCGTGGATGCGCACTGCTGAGGAGTTTCACAATAAGACGAAACGGCTGTCCAGTGCTTCTAGGTTTTTCATGGTGGTCTAGCTTCAATTGACTCATGATCCCAACCATTGAAATTACTATAACATCCACAAGAACCCTTCTAATATTAATTGAATTGTTTGGACAACTTTTAAAAACTTCATGACTCATAGTTATTTTTGAGTGTTTAAACTACAGTTTACAGAAAAGTTATGATCTACGTTGTGCATAATATCTGGGCTACGTTAGTCTTCCTAAGTTCAATCATAAAGAAATCATCGATGATATGATGTACTGACAAAAATATGCGACGCTTAGAAATATTGACAATAAAACATGTTGTGTTTTCTTTTTTGTTGTATCTTGAAGCTTATCAGCTGAAGCTGTAAGGAAATAATCCCCAATTTTTAGTTAAATTTCAGGATTATTAACATTCAACGGAAGTCGATTAGGTGGTGCAGATATTTTTTATTATATTTATTATTATTTTTTATCATATTTCTTATTAACTATAATGATGCATTACAACCACTCAGATAAGTTTACTGTATTTGAAGTTGAGTTGAAGTATTAATATCTTAGTTTTTTCAAGAATGAATATACACTCGGAAGAACACTTTATTGGGGATAAAAGTTCCGAATGACGGGGAAAATCATACTTTGTAGCTTTCTGGTTAGGTGACTTCATAAAAGCGTTCATTATAATGAAAACCAGTGGGTTAGCTACTTTGTTGATTCAATGTTTATGATTAGATATAAAGTCTTAATGTTTATGGGTTTAAGCATGAATAAGTATAGTTTAAGTTTTTATTTTACTGAAAATATAGATGGTACTGAGTAATTGAATAGTTTACAGAGCATTATTATATTGTCTAAGGATAAACATCTACTAATCCAAGACACTGGAATTTCCGATTAACTTGTTTAATCACTTCGATTAAATCCAACCTCATTTGACGCTGAGGATCATATTATACATTCCTCCCATTTACGCCAATAAACTGACTGGCCATTTGTTATTATAATGCACTGTACGTGGTATCCCGTGATTAATAGCTCTCTGTAATTAGCTGTCTGTAACTCTTCTAGAGTTACTGCCAGTCTCAAACCTGGATAAAGGAGGATGGTTTGGAATGGGACCCACAACCCCATCCCACAGAAAAGAAATTGTGCTAAAAAACGCTAATCAGCAAATAGTTACCCAGTTGTTTTGTATATTTTAAAAGTGATTAAAAAGTTATTTCTGAAAGTCTTCACAACTTAGTCCCATATTAAGAGATAGTAATGTCAAGTGAACTTTCTAAATAAATCTTATTTTATTTACAACTATATTCTAGAAAACTTTATCTATGTTTCATGTAAATTATCAGGTAATCGTCGAAAAGATTATATTCGTGAAAATATTCGTCAATTAAGACAATTAGAAGACACTATAACATTTAAAAAACGTGTTGCAGAACAATGCGGTAGATCAGTTCTCTCAACAGATCGTACACAAAACAATACGTGCAACAAATTCATCACATGTCATCATACACAAACTAGACATTCTCAATCCAATGAAAATCCTATATCTTCGGAGGTAATAAAAACAACTGGAGATTTTTTCAACTTAATATAATGTATGTATGGTAAAATGTACCTATTAGTGTTGATTGAAACTCTCATCAACTGAAAAGCAACTGAAAATATAACTTCTTATTAAGACTTTGAGACATTACACCTTCAATCGTATCACTCATATGAGTAGTAAAGCAGCATTCATTTCAATTACCTTACATTTGGATTGTTGAAACAATATTTACCACTTAGCAATCAGTTGATGCTTTAAAGCTAACTTAAGAAAATTATCAGCATATGCTCATTAGTGACTGGCTTCAACAGGTATTTCCTAGAGTTCTAGTGGAAAGCAGTGGAGTTCAACAGGGTCTATTGTGAGATAGTAACTCACCGAAGATAATGGTGGATGTGTCGCTCAATTTTGTGGATTAGTTGGAGTTGGGCATTAGCAGTATTGGATGCCGGGTTAGTAGTCTGGAGGTTAAGCGTTCGCTCGCGAGACTGATAGTTCCTGGGTTCGAATCTCACGATGCGAGATCGTGAATGAGCACTGCTGAGAGGTGCTACTATAGGACGAAACGGCCGACCACTGCTTCCAGGTTTTTCACGGTTGTCTGGCTTCAATTGGCTTATGATCTCAACTATTGAATTTTTTATTATATATAGTAAACTGATTGCTGTTAAATAATTGTATTTAACAATGATTTTCTTTTTATTTATTAGGCTGGATTTAATATATCAAGTCAGTCAACATCGAAAATTGTCCCAATCAAATCTAGTAAAGAAAATAAATATAATATTGATTTAAACAAAACTGATAATCACAAATATCTACAGTCAAATAACTCTTCAATATCTACACAAACTGATAATTATGTAAATCAGGCTATTCCTCCACAAATACCAAATTCACATAATGTTCCTTCCAAAACTAAGGAACAATTTCATCAATCTTTATCACTAAGAACAAATAAGTCAAATAAAAAAATACAACGAACAACATTAACACCAATTCAATCAATTAAAAAAACAGAATATTTACGTGCACATTCTCGTGATATTGAAGATGAAGTTGATCTAAAATATTTAAGTAATATACCTATTTCACCTATACATAAACATTTGAATTCAGCTAAAACATCTGTACCAAAAGCTGAATCAGCTAAAAATGTAAGTTTATTTATTAAATCTAATCTATGTTATCTAAAATGATAAAGGCAAGATATCTGTTTATCAATTAAGGGATGAGTATACTGCGCGACAGTTCATTCTGTTTTACTTAAGGGCTGCAAAATGTGACCATTAAGAGTAGAAGATACTCGTAAGTTACTAGTATTTGATCACAGATGCCTTAGAAATATTGCTCTCATCTTCTGTATTCACCGTGTAAGTAAAAGTAAGGTTAAACGCAGGGTATCAGGGAGTGATGGTAAGTCAGTTGACGAGATTGTGAATTTTCATCGACTGAAATGGTTGGACCACAAGTTACGCATACTTGAACACCGATTACCTCGACGCGCAAATGTGACTAGTATTGGGGATGGTTGGAAGAAAGTTAGAGGCGGCCAAACCAAAACGTGGCATCAGTGTTTGAAGTCACTAACTTCTAGTTTGTGCCATGTTGATAGATGCAGACTACTTGATTGGGGTCTGTGTGATTATCGTAACCAATGATTGGAGACTCTTGGTGACATGGCTCAGAATCGATCACAATGGCGTCGGTGTATACACTCTGTCTTCCTTTAAACTATGAGATTAAAATCACTTCAAATCTTTCTTTCTAGGAACTAATTCTTTGTTCCTATACTATATCATTATATGTAATCTTTCTTTTATATATTACCACTACTGAATTAACTACTTCTATGAATTTGTTGTTCATTTTGTTATGCTAATGAGGTATGGCAGCTTGGACGGATGCATATATTTGCCTGGTCCTAAATTGTAGCTGACTGAACTAATGAAAATAACAAATTCATGGTTATAATGATTAAAACGTAGGTAAACTTAATTCACTGAAATCAATAATAATTTTCAATGCTAAGTAATTTCATCTATAGGACTACCGAGAACTTAAAAGCCAGTGAACAACTGTCTCATTTTAACTTTCAGCTCGTTACAATTTTTCCTCCATGGGAAAACCAGGTGTGAAGTTAGCATTTATTTTCAGTAGTTTTGCATGTGAAACGACAGTCCATGATAAAAATTCTATTATTAATCATTAGAAGATTATCAGAACTATATTTATAGTTCTGATAACCTACGTTTTCTTATTACACTATCGAGATTTAGGTAGGATAGATAAGAGAGCGATCACGTGCCATAAAACAGCTTAAAAATAAAAAAACAGATCGGTAAACTGAGGGATTAGATAACCGCTTCTGAATGCAGAGATCTAGCTTCAATTAATGAATTTCCAAGGCCTTCACTATGAGGCATTTTCCTGTCCAGCTTTCATTAGAGCCAGTTTGTCTGGCTTTATCAATAATTGTGAATAAAGATTTTGGTGGAGATAGATTATCAGAATTAACTAGATGTTCAATAATCGAGTAATCGACAGATTTAGATTCACTTTTATTACCTGTGCTGGAAGGTGTTCGGATATCCGTTTGAAAGAAGAATGCCTTATGCGGCCAATATAATATACTCCACAGCGGCAGGTAAGCTGATGGATGGACACTGAAGTGCTCCAAAACGATAGTTAATCCTCGACACATCTTTGAGTCAGGCATATACTGAAAAATAACTCATTTAAATAAAAAAACTGGGGATTTCGACAATTAGTTTCTTAAGATCTATGCAGCCGCATCCTCTTTGAACTAAATGTCCATACGTAATATTTTTCGTAGAGTAGGAGTTCCTTCATCTAGACATTTTGGTTTTAGTCTACTGTCACTGAAGCAGAGAGGAAATCCACTTCCTGATATTTTTCAATTTTTTTATCGATCACATCTACAGTACATTATTCTAGCTCTCAAGAATGAAGATAAATTTCTCTTCCTACTAATTATAATTTAACTTTGCGCACTCCATATTGACTTTCTATATATAGACCTTTGTGAACAGCAGTACGGCCTTTTTCTTAGCCAAACATCTAGAAACTCAGATTCCGCGTTTATCTCTGACTCTAGTATGAATGTGATCGGTTGGTGGGGTCTAATGCACACATGTAGTATTTTATTAAGACAATTGGAGGTCGTTGAGTAATACAGCAGATTGACTGAAGTTTGACTTGCACATGATTGGATTCCTGCTCAGTGGTTCGAAGCTTAGGTATTCGGGGGCAAGACTGAAGGTCTCTGGTGGCAAGGTCTTGGGTGCTCATTGTTGAAGAGTTTCATGCTAAGACGAAGCGGACGTTGTGGTTCCAGATTCTCAGTGGTTGTCTAACCCCGATCAGTTCGTGATCTCAATAACATCATAAGCATTTTTTGCTTCCTATTAAAAGTATGACAAATAGACAGTTTTATAATTTAAATTATTTTCTATATTAATAGGTTGAATTTATCAGACGTGATATTAATTTTGTTCGTGCTAATGCCCATATGGCAGCAGTACCAAATGTAAAAGGAGCTGGAATTCGACGGATAGCAAGTATGAATTCTTTATCGTTGAATGATAAAACTCATCTAACGGATTCAAATATAACAAAATCACAATTATCGCATACATCAAGAATGTGGCCTGAAAGACGGTTAAAAAGTGGGGTTATCCCACCTTAGTAAGTTTTGCTAGTCTATCAATGTTACATCACATTTAATTAATTAATTAATTATTTGAACCAAAAACATATTACTTACTTACGCCTGTTACTCCCAATGGAGCATAGGCCGCCGACCAGCATTCTCCAACCCACTCTGTTCTGAACCTTTCTTTCTAGTTCTATCCAATTTTTGTTCATTCTTCTCATGTCTGTCTTCATTTCTCGGCGTAATGTGTTCTTTGATCTTCCTCTTTTCCTTTGGCAGTGAGGATTCCATGTGAGTGCATGCCTTGTGACGCAGTTGGGTGCAATCCTCATTTCATTTAGAAAAAAATATTACACAACAATTAATCCTATAAGGATCGCTGATGTGTTAAGAAAGTTATCCTCATAAATTAAATATAATTCGGTTTAGTAATACCATCAGTTTGTACTGAATTATATAAATTTGAATTGTTAACTATTGTTCTTTTCTGTAAAACGTGGTATTCATGTGTGATAGAAATCAATAAAATTGTACTGTATATACGTATGAATGGATTATGAGAATAGTGTGTGAGATAGTTGATTGAGTTTTTAGTACCTCATAATTGGAGAATTGTATAATTTCTAATATAATAACTCGCATAGCATATCACCAATAGGAGATCCAAATAGTTATCAATGGACTTGTTTACTCTAGTTTGGTTCATTCTCAACAATTACACTATTATGGGATATCGCCATTGTGGATAGACGACTAAGGAGAATTCCAATTATTTGATTGCTTTTTAAAACATGTCTTGTCCATAACAGGATAACTTGATGAGCTAAAGAAAATAAAGCACTTAGTAAAATGCGGAATCGGTACACATCTGGTTGACTTGGCTACGTGATAACTTTCTCAGTTACTGACTTTTCTGATATTTGATATTGTTTGAAGTTGTTAAGGTACTTAGGACAAGACAATAACAGAAATGACAGAATGCCTGCAAGAATATATGGGTATTTCATTTTAATTTTGTGGTAAATACATATGCTGTTCTATTGGATGTAACCCAAGGATCTTTCGCATGAAACACTATTGTTCATTCACTGTAGTGTAAAGCTATTGTTCAGATCTTTCAAACTCACTAGTTATTCACTGTCATCATTAGTATCCGGCTCCTTGCCGATCTAGTTAATTCTATGAGTCATGAATTTCCATCAAAACTTCATGATGTCACATTATAATACACAAACTTAATATTTAAATTAAATATATTTATGCAAACACCTCATTAAAACATTGAAGTAGTCAAATATGGAGATATTTATGCATGATAAAAGAGTAAAAGTCCAATAAAGCTGTTTAATAACATAAACTGATTGTCTACAATAAAATAACAAGAAATAAACAGGAATCTATGATCATTTCTCTCTAGCCTAATCAAAATGAAACAAAAAGAAAAAGAACGGATTCAAAAAGAATTGGAAAACCAGCCTGATCCAGATCAACCTCCAGGACATCAGAGAATGCCAGAACAAGAACGTCTAAATACATTAGAATTGCTTAACAAAGGTATTAATTCATAGATATGATTTTCATACAAATATAAATGAAATCAGATATTTTATTCAGAATAATATGTAAACAGTATATGATCTTTGGTACTTACTTACTCTTGTTACCCCTCAATGAGAAGCATAAACCGCCCCCCCCCAGGACTGTCTATCGAAATCTGTCTTGCAAAATCCTTTCCAGTCGTTATTAATCTTTTTCATATCTGCTTCTAACTCTCGACGCAGTGTGTTCATTGTTCTGGACACCACATCAGTACCTGCTTCACATTATGATTATTATTTTATTACTTAAACACATAAACAATTGCACAAGGAGGTACCAAATAGATATGCGCCACATGAATCATTCGATTTGTGTGAGGGCTGAGATACTGCTCGGGTGCCCTAACCGGAGCAGGTGGTTTCCTTAGGGACACACACCCTGACCCTTCGACCTTAAGGTCTGATCAACAAGGCAGTGGAGCAACGTCAAGAGATGCAGTCCCATGGTAGCCGGTGACCAACGATTGGTTCATACGCCATTTGTTCCTTCAGGACCATGTAGTCCATTTGTATCATTTGTTTGGAATCAGGGTTTTCCAACTTCTACCAGCCCGGTTAAAGCTCTGGACATTCGCTTTTCGTCCTCTCAATTCCGTAAAAAAGCACCCACGCTGCAAGAAGGCACAGAGTAGGACTTCCCTGGCAGTGGCTGTATACGCGTGGTGATGTGAGAGCATCTTCAAAGGGAGAGCTGACTCTTCCCACTCTCGTCCTTATCAGAGCGTTTGGAGGCTTCACGTGGAATTGATGGTAAGTTTCGCTGATCTAACTATTTTTTAATAATGTTAAACTAATTCTAAAATAATTCTGAACAAGATATTTTAAGAAATTTATAATAACATCCTCTTTAAATAGGGAAATTCAACAATATAATTTTAATTATCACGTAAAATGTTGTTGAAACTTGACTTCTGTAAAATTAAGATTTCTGAGACTTATTTTCACGGTTCCGAACATTATCAAGGTTGTTGCACTAACTAAAATGAATCTTTTTTGCTAAACGGAACCCCTCTTTAACATTTAGCGGTCTTAACTCCAGAAAGTGTGAGAAATAGCCAATCATGTTGTTATTTCAAAATGGCTAATTAATGTTCAGATGAAAGTTGACCTTTTCTCCAGTACTAAGTAATGATACCATCGGACTGCATCTCCTGACATTGCTCAATTGCCTTGTGAATCAGACCTTTATTTCAAAAATCATCTGCTTCGATTTGGGAACCTGGGCATTATCTCAGCCCTCACACAAATCGAAAGATTTATTTGACGCATATCTATTTGGTGCCTCCTCGTACCGATGTTTATGTCTTTAAATCAATAAATGATATTAACAATTTTTAATAAAGTTTTGTTCTCTGAGCAAGATGATTTGGTCGTGAACGCAAACTTCATCAAAATCATCCACCTGATCTACAAATCTTCTCCACCATCTCAAAACGATATTAATAATTAAATTATTTACGATACATTAATTATACTTTGATTTTCTCTATAGCTCATAATCAGTTGTCAGAAGAATTTTCTCACCTTCCAGTACGTATGGATACATTGAGAATTCGTTCTAGACGTGCAGAAATTGAAAGTCGTCTCAGTGAATTAGAACAAGCTATTGAAATATTCAGTAAACCGAAAGTATTTATTAGACCTGGTTGAATACAAATATGACTTAAAATAATATGGTCAAAAATGTATAAAATATTGTCATGAACAATTTCTATTGTAATCAGCTGTACTTCATATCATATAATGATCGGATATTAATTTTGAATCATGTATTATTTGGGTGAATAGTTTTACAGACTTTCTCTTCTGGCATAATTAGTTTACCATGTTGTCATTGTATGTGTATGTATGTTGATTCTCTCAATCAATTCACATAACTAAAGAAATTCAATGAAATGAATAGTATTAGTTATTTTGATAAAGCTTTGTTCTCTGAGCTAGATTCTTTGGTCGTGGATCTCTACCATCTCAAAGAACAATAACGGGGCGGATTTGTATGCATAAAGCATGCAGTTCTTTTTAAACCTAGTACACAACAATAGTATAATGAACTGTCCCGTTGCCGTTGGCAGATCAGGCAACCCAAGAGTTACGAGAACACCATCAGGGCACACGACAGGCTAGGTAACCCCCCCACCATTTCATAGTATCAGTTGATTTCAAAATTATTTGCAATATGCCGATGACATAGTTCTAGATCATATCGCTATCAGCCACCAATGGAGAGGCTCGATAGAAGACTGTCGCTCATTCTGAAGCACATGTTAGATTCATATCATGCTCTAGTGCGGGCGCGTATTTGTCTACGTCTTACTGGACGTAGGAAAGATGGCGCAGGAGACCTCTTGAGGCCCTACTTAATGATAGTCAAGCTAAGAGTATATTTCAGGAACAACTAGAAAAACAGTTAGGCAGCCATGTAAGTGGTGCCTACCCCGAGCCAGCGTGGAATGATATCCGAAAAGCTGTGGAAACAGCAGTGATGTTTGCAAGTACGGTAAACCATAAAGATAGGGAGAAACACTGGATCTCAGCAGCGTCTACCGCACTGATAGATGCTCAAGAACTCATTCCATCTGGCTCTGAACATAACGAAGAGCGGAGTCAGCTTAAGCGTAAGCTGACTAGAAGCCTACACAATGATCGTGAACAGTGGTGGGTAGGGAAAGAAAGAGAGATGGAAAAGGCAGCGGCAATAGGTAACAGCAGACAACTGTTCAGACTTGTTAAAGAAACCGGTATTAGGAATCCAACTGTTAGCGAAACTATCTCCGAAAAAGATGGACGTATTATTCATTCTCAATCCAGGAGATTGGATCGATAGGCAGAACACTTTCTGGATCAGTTCAACTGCCTTTCAGCCACTCTTTGGTTTCCCACGATCTCTAGTCTACCTGAATGGCAAGTTAATGTAAGTCCTCCGACTCTTTACGAAGTTGAAAAATCTATAGGAAATCTGAAGTGTGGGAGGGAAGCAGGCTCTGACAGGTTTACCCCAGAGATTTTTAAGGATGGCGGTCCAGTATTAGCAGCGAGATTGACTGAGGTCTTAGGTAGAATCTGGGAACTGGACGTAATCCCATGTGACTGGTCTCAATCAGTGATTGTGCCAGTCTTTAAGAAGGGACAAAAGTCCTCTTGTGACAATCACAGAGGAAATAGTTCGACTAATATAGTGTCTAAAATATTATCTTTAATATTACTTCGACGTCTAACCAAAGCTCGGGAAGAGCAGACTAGAGAAAACCAGGCTGGTTTTCGATTTGGACGTAGTTGTATAGACCAGATATTCACACTACATCAGATCCTAGAACATAGATACACAATGGTAGTATTTCTTGACCTTAAAGCGGCATTTGACTCTGTTGATCATGAGGTTCTATGGCAGTGTTTGTCACTGAAAGCAGTACCAAAGAAGTACATCAACCTTATAAAGGCTCTCTACTCGAACACAACTGGTCGAGTGAGAGCTTATGGTGAAGTGTCATCAGAACTGATTACCTCAAGTGGTGTTCGTCAGGGCTGTCCACTCTCTCCATTCTTGTTTAACTTTGTCGTTGACGTCCTTTTAGAGATGACACTTTCCTCATCTAGATTTCCAGGAGTTGAACTTCTACCGGGAGATTCACTTGTTGACTTAGAATATGCCGATGACATAGTTCTATTTAATGAAGACGCTGACAGAATGCAGAGTCTGCTGACCACTCTAAGCAACAATGCAAGCATGTTCGGTATGCAATTTTCTCTCTCGCAATGCAAAATGTTGCTTCAGGATTACGTTGCATCGACACCTGAACTGGTGATTGGGAGTGAAGTAGTTGAGCGTGTCGACCGCTTCACTTATCTTGGAAGTCTCATCAGCCCTTGTGGCCTGGTGTGTGACGAAATCTCAGCACGGATACAAAAGGTTCGACTAGCTTTTGCCAACTTGCGTCATTTGTGGCGTAGGCGAGATATCCGTCTATCTATTCCCGTATAATTGGTATTAATGTCGTTGCTTGTCGGAAATTCCAAGTACCTGTTAGGTATATTTATGTAAGTGCTACTTACCCAGTCTTCCTGATTACTACGTCCTCTGTTAAATTTTCGCCACCTCACTACTGTTTCGTCTATTTCAATGATTCTTCCAACTCCTCCAAACAACCCGTGTAAACTTGTCATATTTATTGCACATATATCTCTACATTACTCATACCACTGAACAGCTAAAGCTTCAATAATGTCTGCAAAGTTGCAGATGATTTTATTATCTAATTCGCAACAATTATCATGATTTGTCTTAGTCTCAATTGGGATCGAGCGAAGAAACTTCGTGTTAGAGCCGACTTCTTACTCCAACATAAATAACATCGAAAAACAGTCTCATCACGGTAGTCTGCACATGGTAAAACAGTCACACATAAAGAAAATTCTTTGTAGTCCCATTTGTTATAGCGCTCAATGATCACGTCTTCTCTAAAATCCACTCTAAACCGATCGTACATAAGCATTAGGCATTGAAATTAGCGTTGAGACCTTGAAAGCTCTTAAACGCTTCTAAATGACACGTCCATAAATTATAGCTTATTTCAATCGTTGAAATCATGAGTCAATTGGATTTAGACCACCATGGAAAACATGGAAGCACTAGACGGCCATTTCGACCTAGTATGGGACTCCTTAACAGTGCATATCCACGATCCAGCCCCCCCCCCGTGAGATTCAAACCCAGGACTTATCAGTCTTGAGAGCGAGAGCGTAACCATTCTAAAATAAAAAGTCAAATTATTCTTAAAAAAAAAGATTATTTATTAATTATTGACTTCAATTACAAGTTTACCACGTTTTCCTTTATTATATAATCTATGAAATGCATCTGGTACATGATTAAAATTATAAACAGTATCTACAGGGATTATTAATTGGTTATTTGAAATTAACTTTAAAAGATAATTTAATACTTTATTATTTGGTTTAAAAAATACCCAACGTATTTTATGTAAATTAGGTATAACAATTTTAGTATAAGCATGATTTATACAGAATAAAGCTGCTATATTAGTAAACAATAATTGAGAACATGCTATTCCACTACCAATAAATGGTCCATAATTATCATTTAAATATAATAAAGGTGGATTAAGCATTATATAACGTGAATAATTTGATGATGTATTTAAATAAGTTAACATAGATGGTAGTTGAGGTAATAAATGATCAATTAAATTGTATTGTTTCATATATGTATTCAATGAAGATGAAGTGGAGAATGAAGTTGTTGTATTTAAATAATCCGGTCGAATACAATCAAGAATTAAATCATATTTCATTGTAGTTTGAATATTTATTGGATGTGGAAATATCTAAAATATAATACGGAAATCTATTAAGATTTAAAGTGTATACCTGTTGGGAGCGATAGATCCCCAAAAACTCATATTTTGTAATTTTATTTTATCGATTAAATATTTAAAAATGTATATGACAATATCGATTATATATATCTGTATAAATACGCTTGATTTGTGTGCCTGATTGACCTGGTTGCCTGTAGGAAACACTTTACACGTCTTACCAAGACTTCCTGATAGAGTTAGTTGAGTCGGAGACAACGGAACAGAATAGCTTATCGAGTCTCTGAATCCTTGATACTTAGTTTCGTTCCGAGTGAGACAAATCAGTAATAGCATTCCAGCTTAACGTATATAACAATACTATAATGATAATAAGAGTGGATTTATTTAATCCAATCTAGCTGATATGATATAGAATATAAGAATGATTATTATTTAGATGATAATCTTGTATGGAATAATCAAAATACATTGAATTGATCAGTTATTTACATCAATTCAAATATCAAATTGTAACCATTATTCTTTCTTAGTCAAGAAGAACAAGTTAGTTACATGTTAGATCCTTAGAACTTACTTGGTAAATACTTTATTTTTTTAAAATTCTATTTTGAAAATTTAAATTTCTTGTTTTTGCGCCAAAAGCGCTTATTTTCCATCTTCATGTTATATTTCCCATTTGAGAGAATCTTAAACGCTATTAGTTCGTTGTATCTTTTAGTAGGTTATTTTGTAACGCTACCTAAGGACATTCTTATGCTATATATATATATATATATATATATATATATATATATATATATATATATATATATATATATATATATATATATATTATTGTTGTTGTTCGCCCTTCTGGTTGCTTGTTAAATATATTTCCCTGTTCCAAACTTGGATTCCTCTCTCTAGTTAACTGGAGTAGTACATGTCGGAATAGCTAGGTTATTAGTCATTGTGTCACAGTGTCCTCGTTTTTGTTCTCAGATAAGGTGAACTAGTAATCTCTTGAAACATAGCAGTTTATCATTATCATCCAGAAAGGATTTGGAAATTAGATGGTGGTTGGAGGTAGTCGACAGGAAATCCTGGACTCCCGTTTCGTGCTACTTGGCACTTGTCAGCAAGGTGTACCTGTAATCTTGAGTGAACTGGTGCTCCCTGACAGATTCGATCTCGTGTCACCCAGCTTCACAGTCAGAGACGTTACCAATCAGCTATCCGGGCCGTGATCAACCTCCTGTAGGACTGAGATGTAATCACAATTGATTGATCAAATCCGCCAGAGAGCATCAGTTCCCTCAAAGATTACAGGTACACCTTGCTGACGAGTGCCAGGTAGCACGAAACGGGAGTCCAGGATTTCCTGTCTACTACCTCCAACCACCATCTAATCTCACAATAGTGCCCGCAGTGTCGAGTCACCTAGACTGGTGGTCACATTGCAACATGGTCGATAGCATTCGATCTGCACTAATAACAAGGACTAGACACACATGACATTGGTCACCACCCAGTGATCAATCAATTAGGATTTGGAAATATTTCATGATACAAGTGAAAATGTGAGAAATCAAGTCATATAATACTGATTGAAATTTACAATCTAGTTACTAAGTGACCATATGTAATAGTTCAACATTTGGATCAACATATTAATGATGCGTATTTTTCATAATAAAATTTAATCTACAAGTAATAGATTCCAATTGTTCAAATAGTAAACACTAATAGAGTAAGCAAATCAGTGATTACCTAACTTTTAATAGCGACTTATAAGTGTAGTAAACGAGAACACAAGTGAGGACAATCGAATGTATTTGAAAACAAAATTACAGAACATCTTAGTAAAATCTGATAACCATACAGTAAATACTTCATTTGCAAAATGTCAATCAGTCATCTTAGACTTCACTGTTCCTTCATTTTCACAGCAATCGTTCTCTTATCTTCAATCTTCTTAACCTTCTGCCGCCAGGCATTTCACTTCCAAATGATGATACATGCTACTTATATCTGTCGGCATCAGTAACACACATCACAATAGATATTCATTATAACTGATCACTTTAAACCAATATAATTGATTGTTAATCATTAATTGGCTTTTATTGAACACGTTCGATAATTTTTTACTTACCAGGTACAGATTCATTTACACAGCCTCGAGTTACGCTCTCAGTATGAGCGCTAGCTGTACTACTCGGCTTCCCAAACCAAGTTAGGTATAGTAGGATTTGAACCTCTGATTTAGTCGAATGTGTTAACTACTCAGTCATCGCCCAATAATTTTAATAAGTACTAACATGAGCCTACTTCAATCTGATCACTACCCAGAGTGAGTGCAGGATCCGTGTCCTGACAGTCTTGTAAAAGTACTTTGTACTTCGAAGGTGCAAAGCACATACCATACCTACAGACACTGATTACCAACCGATTAAGTGCGGATTGCATCACTTGGGTATCTTCGCACAGTAAGACAATATCATCCGCATACTCAAGGTCGAAAATTTTTTTTCCAAACAACAGATCCACACCACTATTGCTTACATCCCTCAGAGCTGTTTCCAGGATGTCATCGATGGCAAAGTTGAAGAGGAATGGTGAGATTGGGCAACCTTGCCTAACTTCACTGCTTGAATGGAACAATGGAGAGAGGTGATTGTATGACCTTACTCTGCCTGAGATGTTTGTATATAGGGATTTGAAGATGTAAATGAACTCCTCAAGCACACTCTTCTTCAATAGACAATCCCAGAGAACAGTTCTGTCCAAAGAATTGAAGGCAGCAGTGATATCAAGCAACACTAAGATTGTTGGCCTGTGATAAGTGTGATGGTGTTCTAACATTTGGCGGAGTGTGAACATATATGATCAATACATTCTCGACCAGAACGACAACCAACCTGCTCCACGCGAGTCAATCTATCTCGTGTTTTGAACAATCTACGAAGTATGACGGAAGCCGATAGTTTGGACGCAATCAGAAGCACATTTATCCTCTAATAAGTTGTTGCAGAAACGACATGAATCCTATTTAAAGAACAACTATCGACTGGTTCCACGATGTTGAAATACTCTCTAATTTCCATACCATTGAAAACAACGAAGCCAGAAATTCACCACCACCTTTAAAAAAGACCGGAGGTAAGTTGTCTGGGTCTGGTGATTTATAGCGCTTCAAGAGTTGGAGTTCCTTAAGGACTTTCGCCTCGTTAGGCGGATCAGTTTGTCACAGGCCATGGAGAGTCGGACAGTCTGATCGATGTTGCCAGGGCAGCAGACCACTTGAACTGCTTCTCAAAAAATTCTGCCCACCGTTCAAAAGGTCATCTTCACAGATTGTCTTGCTCACACTAGACTTCTTACTGCCGGTGACTCGGATGAGTTGAAAGATCATCCGGCAGTTACCAGATGCAGCTGCTGCTTCCAGTTTATTGACAGGCTCCGACCGCAGGGCTTCTCGATCCTTACGCAAGTTCTGCTCAACTTCATTACGTAAGTTTTCGTTTGTGGTCAAACTCGCGGTACACAACCCTGCCAGTGCTGGCCGATCGCGATGTGGCACAAATCCATGAAGTCACTGACAGGTGAACTGAGCCATGTTGGTAGATGTACACTACCTGGTTGGGGACCGCGAGATGATAGCAACCGATGGTTAGACACCTTGAATGACATGGCTCAAAATCGTTTGTAATGGCACAGATGCATTCTAATCTGAATTCTTCATGACCCGTTTTTCTCTTTCCAAATTTATTTCACCAGACTATAGTCTTTGAATAACTTTTTCAAGCCCTAATCTTTCCGATTACTTCTTGTACTCTTACTATCTCTACCACTACGAGATTTGAATGGACAACTGAATCTCTGTGCTAATGTGGTATGGCAACGCAAACTGATATACGTACGTACGAAATTCTACGTTGTTGATGACTGACTGACCGATCGCGATGTGATCAATCTGAGTCCAGGCTTGAGATGCAGAGGGAAGACTCCAGGTGGCACATCGGCGATGACTGTGCCGGTAGTTAGTGCTAGCCAGGAAAAGGTTGTAGTCTGTGCATAGTTGCAGTAGACGGTCACCGGAATCTGACCTGCAACCAATAAGTATTCATTGGCCACCTAAACAACTCTTTTCTGTGTCTAGACGCCCGACCTGAGCATTCAAGTCTCCGGCTAGTACTACAATATCTGTCGGACGCACGCTCTGTAGAAAAAGTTACCTGGCAGCAAAACTCACACTTGATCACATTCAGGCTGCAATCTGTCTGAGTATAGGCGGAGATGATGAAAAGACATCGTTTCTCATACCGATTTCTTCGTACTTTGATGGATGTTTCTAATCAAACAGCACATAACTGATTGCTAATGGGGGTCGAATCGATTAGTGCTGCTTCAGCTCTAGTGCTAATTGTAACACCAACGCCAGCAAAACCAGACGAACATGCCACACGGTCCCCAAATGAATGCACTTAAAATAAGGTTGTCGAAGTGACAGATGGAGTCTTAAGCACGGGTCTCGAACAGACATCGAAATTAAGACTTTCTAATGATAAAGCCAACCCTATTTGTTGTCCGATCTGTATTAGTATACGAACTTTGAAGGAAACAAGTTTGAGTGGACTGTTAGTTTAATTGAATCCGGTCGGGTTTATCAGTGAAGTATCCAATGAAACTTAGTTTAGGTAGTCATATTTTTATCAACATTCAAGTCTGGTGGGTTAGATTGAAGGAATTATTATATTTGAAACTACATTTAAATTATAAGGAACGGCTATCTCGTGTTTAATTTTAGTCTGGTCCATTAAATGAAATTTACAGGTTGTTGTAAACGGGGTTTAACCATAAGTTATATTAATTATTGATAGATCGAACTCAAAATTTGTCTATTTAAAACGTGATAAAAACACAAATTATGTACTACTTACTTCATCAACTTGTAAAACATTCATTAAATCTAATGCCTTTTTATCACTTGGACATGTGACATGAACTCTCCAACCCCAAAGTTTAGCCAATTGTGCTGCAATCAAGCCAACACCACCAGTGGCGCCAGTTATAAGAATTGAATAATCTGATGGTGATGACTTACTAACAGGGTTGATTCCACCAGCATCAACTAAAGCTGACCATGCAGTTAAACCTGCATATCCTAATGCAGCTGCAGATATGAAAGAAACATTACTAGGTAATGGAGCGACGTAATCGGCTGGACAGACAATATATTCAGCTAATGAACCGGATCCAGTAGTACTGAGAAAAGGCCATGTAGCACCTGCCACATTTGTACCAATAACAAGTTTATTTTGCCTGGTTAGGTTGGATAAAGCAACTTCTGAACCGATGTCAACTATTTGACCAGAAAAATCACGACCAGGTGTAAAAGGAAAGTCAGCATTTTCTACTGTTGTGGCATCCGGTAGACCAAAGCAACCATAGTTTGATGTAAAACGACGTAATAAACTAAAGCTAGAAGAACCATAACCATAGACAAGCAAAGAATCGACAGGATTTAGCGATGCTGCTTTAACCTTAATAAGTAATTGGTCTGGACGAGTTATATTGGGCATACGTCTAGTCCTTGTGAAGTGTAATTCAGATGTGATGTCTACTGCACCAGGTGGTAAAAAGCTCATCAGCTGCCATGCTGAAATCGTTTTTGGAAGTTTTGGCCTCATATTATACTATATGTTTTCTGAAATATGAGAAAGAAATAATTTATTTTAGGTATCAATCTGATGAAGTTTTTAGAAGGAAACCTAAGCTTAGATATTACTGTCAAATATTTTTACTAATAATCAAAGTGATGAGTAAGAATTGATAAACTGTGAAAAAAATCGTCGAATTCAAAATATTTTATCGTTCTATATATCCGTTCAAATTACTTAGACAAAAACTATTCCGTGAAACAATTCGATCGACGAAAGGGATCAATTCGTAAGCGAAAGTAAATGACTAACGATTTACTACTCATACTTCTCAGTACATTCTGTTGCATAAAAAGCATACTCGATCTTGTAGCCCCCAAATACTCTGAAATGGCCACGCATATACAGCCACTGACAAAAAAAGTCCTACTCACTACCTTCTCGCACCACGGGTGTTGTTTACGAAATCCCGAGGATAAAAAGCGAATGTGCGGTGCTTTAGACGGGTTGGTGACACAGAGGGTCCACCTAAGGGAGTTGCAAAACCCTGATTCCAAACCAATCGTGCACATGTGGTCCAGGATGCTGAAGGAGCAAATGGTGTATGAACCAATTATTGGTCACCGGCTACCATTGGACTGCATCTCCTTACGATGCTCCACTGCCTTGTGGATCAGACCTTCAGGTCGAAGGCTACAGGTGTGGCACTCTATGAAAACAACCTGCTTCGGTTTGAACACCCGGGTAGTACCCCATCTCTCGCACAAATCAAGTGACTTATGTGTCGTATATGTATTCAATGCCCCTTTGTAACAATATTTATGTGTTCAAATAAATAAATAAAAGAATAATCATTTCGAATGAAAACTATTTTGAAAATTTACGGCAAGAAATATCGCAATCCACTTAATTAACATTTATAATCTTAAACAGTACGAACCATTCGATGGATTGTGAACATTTCGAAAAAATCATAATAATGATAGAACAACTGAAAGTAACAATAATTGATTAGCTACCTGAAAGTCAATATATAACGAGAATTCAGTGATAATTCATGATCAAATGACATTAATAATGGTTCTTAAATAGTATCAAAATATTTGTCACTAAAATTAAAAGGAAACTTGGGAGCGGAAATATTCATCATCTTTTTATCAAAACACTAATCTGATTACTAAACTGAAATAACATTCTTTTCATTTTAAAGCAAACATATCAGTTAGAATGATTATGATAATGAATGTGAAATTCCATCATTTGAATGATGATAGGAAAATTCAGACAACGGTACTTTTTAACATTGAAATAACTCGTTTGCATACACTGATGGTATGTGTGTTGATGCATCTTCTACTCACATGAAGTTACAGATGATAGACTTCATTCCAACGTTTAGATGGACATAGTCTGCTTAAACGTTATATAAGCAATCAGACTTCAAATTTTGGTAGAAACTTATGGAAACTATTTGGAAATTCATAAAATGTTATCAGCTATTGATTGCAATAACATATTGAATAAAAGTTCTTTCTAGACAAACCAGGCGTTTCAGTGACGGTTGTGAAGACTGAAAGGATATTTCGAGGCTAGAACTACTTTCAACCTCCTGTATCGGTGAGAACACCAAATGTGTAGGGTTACTTATGCTCTGCAATTCCTAAGTGACCTTCCCGGTAACTGTTGACGAATTAAATTTGGCCAAATTGTTTCTTGACATGATTCTAGCAACATGTGAAACGATGAGGCATTTGAAAAACCTAATATATGAAAATGCTTGAAGCAACAGAAACGGACATAGGACAAGGGTATTGTCGAAAAAAGTATTTAAAAGGATATACGATTTATTTATTTCAGTTTGGTTGTTTTTGAAATCACAGTTAAGAAGCAAGCCATTCAACTGAAAGAACAACACAATTTTTAGGTATTTTCACCGTGGCAAGAAACAATAGTAGTCGCAAAGTGCCATGACATTTAACAAAACATGCCTCACCAGTTACAAGATTTCACTCTGCAAGATTTCTGCACACGAATAACATATCGGAAAAACGGTATCTTCATGAATAGTCATCACATTCAGATTTGACAGACGGGTTTCCTTTATCGTGTATAGGATTTAACTTAGTACCTTTACCTAACCCAGATCAAATTGAGCCTGGCACATTTAAAGGTCCCAACCACGGATAAAGAAGGGCTGAGAATGGGGTCAGTAACCCCACCACGAAAACCAGAACCCAGCTACAAAAACGTTAACCAGGAAAATCAATTCGGACATTTAGCTCTGTCCTGGAAGTTCAAGGGTCTTCATAAAGACGAGTTACGGAGCCTCGTGGTGAAATCCGAGACTCTTCAAAAGTCATTCGATCGATGCCTCACCTGATAACAAGAACAGCAATTAACACAGGTACATGGGCAGTCCACGCGATGTACGAGACTGGAAGTTATTCAGTCAGCTGAGAAAATGAGAAGATACAACCTAGGTAGTGCTTGCAGTAAGTGAAACCCATAAGACGCAAACACGACAGAACACATTAGTCTTGAGACAGGTGCTACTGAAAAGATGAAACTAAAACTAAAGAAACAACGGACAAATAGCATCACAAAAGTTTAATACAGCCTTCGTTTGAGATACTAACATATAAACTCAACCGATCCAACATAAATCCTACCAATAAGTTCCACTAAAAGTAAACTATTATGGAAGTAAATGGAAATGGATAAAAAAAAGCACTAACTTGAGCATACCAGGAGGTGCTGCGTCGCAAGAAGCACTGTCATTAAGGGTGGATTTCTGCTGACATCCTGGGCACGATTCAAAAAAACAAGAACAGTAAGACATCAGTCGGCAACAGCCAAACAATAGTAGAGAAGATCGAGGAACAAGTCAAACGCGCGGCAGCAAACAAGCGAGTGAAGAGCAGCACTAGAACTGATAAACGGAAGTATGTGGACGTACTGCGAAGTCGTGTATAGAGGAAAGTTGACAGATGCATTCCAAATGACGACTGGAGTCAGACGAGCCTGCATACTCTCCCACTTACTCTTTCTACTGGTGGTTGACTGGCTTATGAAGGCTTTCACATCTGAGGGGAAGCACGGAATACATTAAACAGTTTGGATGCGGAAAGACGATTCGGACTTCGCAGATGACCGAGCTCTTCTATTCCATACACACCAACAATTGCACGCCAAGATAGTCGATGTAGCACCAACCTCTGTGGCAGTAGGCCCCAATGTACACAAGGGAAAAAGCAACCTTCTCAAGTATAACATGCGGAACACCAACCCAATCACACTTGATGAAGAAACTCTGGAAGATGTGGAAACTTTCACGTATCTGGTCAGTATCATCAATAAACAACGAGGATCTGGCGCAAATGTGAAGGCAAGGATTGGCAACGAAATGGCAGCCTTCCTACACTTAAAGAACATATGGAACTCAAAACAACTGTCTGTCAACTAGTTCCAATATCAGAATTTTCAATACGAACGTCAAGATAGTTCTACTGTACCGAACTGAAACTTGAAGAACCACTACAATCACCATCAAAACGTACAGGTGTTTATAAACTGTATACTTAAGATACTCCAGATCCGTTGGTCAGCAAGCAGCAGCCTATTGTGATAGAGAACAAACCAGCTTCCGGTAGTACGATTGCAACGGTCGTCTCACAGCTTAACATATAAACTCGTGCACTCACTAAGTTTTAATGGGGAATGATAGTTGAGTTAAAGTGTTTAACTTTCAACCATTGCTTTGTATAAGTTGACCCCGGAAAAGTGTGGAAAATTAGCTACACTAATTAATTAATAACGAGATTTTAATAAAATGCGCATGGTGGTTAATAGTCTTACTCTTACTTATTCAGTATCGTTAAACCATTACTTAGTATTAAGAGATAAGAAAATAAATTACTCGGGTTGATAAGTACGAGAATATACTAATTAAAAGGTAAAAGGAGTACGCTACTAAACGGTTCGTAAGATAAATTTCTGTTACCCATTTCATATGAAAACCAGACATCTCAAATAGATATGCATTCCAGAATGTAAGTGCATAGCTTTATAAACTCAAGTTTTGGCTTGTCTAAACAAAAAGCAGAGAATCCTCCACTTTGTATCTATCTCAACAAATACGGAGTTCAGAGAAGAGTTTTGTGGATATTATAGTAATTTAATAGTTGAATTCATGAGTGCCCCCAAATGCCTTGGTACGACCGAGAGTGGGGTGGGTTCGCCCTCCCTCTCGAAATGCTCACACATGGCCACGCGTAGATAGCTTCTGCCAGGGAAGTCCTACTCACTGCCTTCTTGTGGCGGGGGTGTTGTTTACGAAAATGAGAGGACGAAAAGCGAATTTCCGGCGCTTTAATCGGATCCCAAATCAATGGTGCACATGGGAACAAATGGCGTATGAACCAATCGTTGGTCACCGGCTACCATGGGACTGCATCTCCTCACGATGCTCCACTGCCTTGTGGATCAGACCTCTGAGTCGAATGCTCGGGGTGTGGCCCCCTAAGAAAACCACCTGCTTCGGTTCAGGCACTCGGGCAGTATCACAGCCCTCACACAAATCAATCGAGATTCGTGTGGCGCATATGTATTTGGTGCCTCCTTGTACCAATACCTATGTGTTAAAATAAATAAATAATAAATATGAATTCATGAGTAATTTGAAGCTAGACCACCATGGAAAACCTGGAAGGGGGATCGTGGATGTGCACTGCCGTGGAATCCTATACTAGGACGAAACGGCCGTCTAGTGATTCCAGGTTCTCCATGATGGTCTAGCTTTAATTGACTCATGAATTCAACTATTAAAACATGAAGTTGAAGAATTATTGTGTTGAATAAATTCAAGTAACACATAAGTATAGGTACAGGGAGGCACTAAGTACATATACGCCACACGAATCTCAATTGATTTGTGTGAGGGCTGTGATACTGCTCGGGTGCCCAAACCGAAGCAGGTGGTTTTCTTAGGGGACCACACCCCGAGCCTTTGACCTGAAGATCTGATCCACAAG